CTCAATTAAGTTTCTTTGATTAAAGTTCTTATACCACCTTTACTTAAAAACCAATCAGGTCGGAACCGACATTATTTGTTCCTTATACCTTAGTTTTCTTATTATGTTATTTACTTTCATATTCCTAGGCTGCATTTCTACATGTTTTTCAATTACAGGGACAACCTTTAATTCAATATCACTTATAGTCTTTCCTTGGAAATGGTCAGTAAAACTTAATAGTTCCGCCAGTAATTCATCCCTATTATCCTTAATATTTTGCAAAGAAAGTTTAAACCTTTATAGAAAATTTGCTCGGATGTAACGTCCACTGCAGTTTAGGACAAGTTTGCCACCTAACAAACTATACTTTGCTCCTTAAAGTATTCTGAATTTAATTTTCCTTGATTCTTATACCTAAATTTATAGGCTTCTTATGTTTATATCTTACTTAAAAATTTAATCATATAGTATATCCACTGCTTGTAATTTAACTACGATTTCCGGATAGATTGTCAGCTAATGCTTTACGTAATCTGGTTTTCTTCCTTGTTAACAATGTAATTTTACAATAGAAGTTGTTCGCTATCGTTTTTGTAATTTTGTCTTTTCAGGAAGACCTAGTTGGAAGCGCATTATATGAAGTCCTTTGTTATAACAGTTATGATAATTCCCAGTATCGGACATTTACAGAAGCTTCGCCTGCTTCTTAGTCGGCAGCGTCGGGGATTCTTGTCAATACTAGCACCAAACTACAGCTCACTAAAGAGAAAGGCGAAGTCCATCCCTTCACCAACTTTCTGCTTAATAGTTGTTTTAGCATTCATGTACTGTTACACCCACTATCCTAGTATCTCACTCTCGCTATCAAAACTTCTAAAGGCCAATTACGGTGCCGAAAGAACCTTGACAGTTGAACAAGCAATCTACCATTAGCGTTAGATTACCTATCATTTGGTTTGAAGTTGCGAGTTTAAGGGCTTCGTAAATTGTCCTCATCCGAAGGTATAGAGTACCTCTATAGAGTACCTATGACTGTAGCTATTACTGTAGCTTTGTTCGAATAAGTCCTCGGCGCACTACCTTGCGAACACGATGGATCCTTGCCGAGCTGTCGTCCGTTACATGACGAGCATCGCCGGCTTGCAGCCGGCTACTCCTTACAGCTACGTGTGAGGATAACTTACGAACCCCTTCCACTCATCTCTTTTAACGAAATAAAATGTACTCTAACATCAATCTATCTATGGATTTTTTTGAAACCCACTTTTTATTCAAATACTACTTGCCCTACGTTCTACAATTGAGGCAAAGCCTAAAGAACCCAGTCTACGAATACGTTTAAATCAAAGACATCCACTATTGCCTCCACTATCAGCATGTTACATTTGATCCTTGTCATTTTTGATCGCCACAAACCTCTCATTTTACAGATAAAAACTCGTCAGTAGGTAGTAGGCACAGACCGACTTAGAACAGCTACAATTAAAGGCTTAAAGCTCTTCTGAGATTCAGGAACTTATCCCCTGTGCGCGGCCCACACATTCTAGGAACAAGGGTTCATTTTTCACATGGAATCTGACTTAATTCTTATTATCCCATTTTAATTCTTTTTATTTGAGGCTATCTCATTCAGGCTAGTCTCCGGGGGAAATTTCTTAGTGTCTTATCCAAATCCTCTCACTACATTTACTCGTCTCATTATTAGACATAACATCTAACTCATAATACGTTCTTATTTTAAAAAGAAGACTTCTTTTACCATTACTCATTCACGACTTTAACTTACAAGCTTTTCTGTTAGGTCTCCCCTAATAATCAAGTCAAGCCAGGCCATCATCCACGAGCCAATAAGAAGTTGACATATACCACCCACCAAGCAAGTAATTAATTAAGCAAGAACTACGAAGGACATAGCACTAACTTTCATTTGATGAGAACATTGCTCCCTTATGCCCCAACTTCCCTTTGTATCCTTATGTTCCTTCATTAAGCTTCGACTTAACAATCCACTACCAATTATACCTTATTCTCTTTTGCGATTTGCTTTCATTTCTCCCATCAGATTGAGTATTCCCAAATCGTAGTACATACAAATAAGTATTTTTAAGTTGGGTCACAAAAAGATATTCTTTTAAAATAAGTAAATTCTATAGATTGGAGTGGGTTGACCTCGTTTTCTCAACTTGGTAGTGCTGTCAGGCGGACTTAGCTGGACCCTCCTTGTCCGAAGTCCTCTCCGATGATGGTTATCATAATTCCCAGCATCGGATCGTGGGCTTGGTACATTATCAGACGTTTAGCCGGTACCATCAGCGAGTCGTGCCATTGTCAGCACCAAGCTACAAGTAGTCAAAGCGACAAGTAAACTCAATCCCTTGACCAACCTTCGGCCGAACAGTTGTGCTATCACTCCTTTTTCTGTCTTGGAATATTTACTTACTACTCTCATTTCTCACTCCAACCCTATCATAACTTCTGATTTTTTTCCATTTCACTCTTCAAAAGGTATGCCCTTTTTGGCAAGTTTGCTATAGCATCATCACATCTGCTGCTTACCTTGCCCCTTTCTCTTTCAATTGGCTGATCCGATTCGGTCCTATCCATATCTTCCTCATAGTCGTATAGATCCGTTTCTTATCTTTCTGATTGGCCGATTTTACTTGGTTCCAGTCCCAGTGTACATTTTTACTTAGGCGTTATTTCTCAAGCATTTAGTGGCACGTACAAAGTCGCCTGGAGTAAAACGTACACTGGGACTGAAACCAAGAGAAATCGATCAACCAGAAAGAAAGAAACGCATCTACGGAACAATGAGGGAGATCGGGTAGGAGGCCTGGGTCAGATCAGTCAAGTGAACGAGAGGGGGGCAAGGTGAACAGCAGATGTGATGTAGCCACGCTAAACTTGCTAAAAAGGGCATACCTTTTGATGAGTGGAATGTAAACAAGTCCGAATTTGGGATAAAAAGGTAAGGAATAAATAGCTAAGCCAGGACAAAAATATGAGTGATAGCACAACCGTTCAGGCAGTAAGTTTGGTCAGTGGATTGATTTCTCTTGTCTCTATCGAGTTGTTGTTTGGTATTGAGAATGGCAAGATTCCCTGATTATGCCGGTGAAACGCCTGAGAATGTACCAAGTCCACGGCCGGACGTTGGGATTTATGATAACCACTATATCAGAGGACTTCGGACAAGGGGTGCCCAACTAAGTCCCCTGACAATACGATAAAGTTGCGAAAACGAGGTCAGCCCACTTCCATACATCGAAAGTAGACTGCGGTCATACCAAAGGCCACACCATCTTGGACTTCATATCTTCGATTAATTTACAGATTGGGTTTGCTTGTGAATAATCCGCAACTATATGAGCTTGACTTACAATTTCACATACTCTTCACAGTAGATCAAATCGAAACATTGTTGAACCGTTAGTTTCTCGATAATATCAAACCATCTGGCAAATTATAGCCCATTATCCCATTGGTGGTTTTTCTTATCCATCAGCTTGATGACTCTATTTTATACATTTCATAGTCTATTGGGAAATCAGGTTCCTTTTTTCACTCTTTTTAGGATCTTGAGTTTTATTTCATAATTCTTACCTAGCTTTTATTAAGCCTAGTATTATTTTTCATAGAATTTCCCTATCAAACATACTGGGAGTGAATCCCGTTTATATATTCTCAGAGTAAAATACTGAATATTCACGTCCATTTTTCTGATGCAATTTTTTGTTATGGCTTCGATGTGCTTTTATCTGCTCTTTCTTTGTTATCCTTTAAAATAATACCGTATCATAGGGCGACTCTCGACCTGCTCTTCGTGTCCTCTATACTATCTACTCACACTATCGCTACTACGATGGGGGTACCGGATCCGGGCTCTCGGATGATCCTCTAGATCCCACCTTCTCTGAGGCTGAAATGGCCACTAGTCCACCGGAAATCTTACCCAATAGCTCTGCCTCTGAAGCTCAACAAAGTCCGACGCTTGGCGACCATCAACATTTGCGCACAGGTGGAATCACTGAGTCGATATACTCGAATTAGTCGAAAATTATCCATATCAGATCAATCTTTTTCATCCTTTCTGGTTTCAGCTTTTATTTTATATTGTCTTAGGAGCATACTTCCGATGCACTCGTGTTGCTTCATTGTTGTCTTCCTTGAAATACATCACAGTCAAAGCAGCACCTCACCACTTCTCTTTCGTTATTGAATATGTTAGCCAAATTTAGCACTGGCTCAGCTAATTAATTTGGATACCAGTGTTTTTTTGTGATGAAAGAAACTTAAAATATGCTAGCAAAGCATGGGTCACTTATTTAGTTGTTTCCCTGATTTAATGGGCATTGCGCCCTCTTTTTTTCCTTTTTGTTATGTGAATTATGGACTTCTGGTTATTCTACTAAAATCCAATGCTATACTGATGTACAACTAGTGGCAACGCCTTCATCTCGTCCCTATCTCCAGTATACATGCGGTTAATTTTACATGTCCGAATGACGTCTAGTTTACTCCCCTAAAACATTATTTATTTTTATTCTCTCAATTCTTCCGTCCAAGAATTAGCCAGTCTTCAATTTATTAACGTTTGTGTATTAGTTGTAATTCAGCATCAAATCTTATTCATATTTAAACTGCGATTTTGCGATTGCTTGATTTTAACCCTATATTTTTATTTGATACAACTCACTCCACGCTTTTCCAGGATAGATTTTTTGGTGGCTGGCTCGATTATTTTCTTTTTTATTCGGGAATTGTATCCTAGCTTTTCAAGATAAGTCAATCTTGTATTTTTTTGTACACATTGATTTTATGCTCATATTTTTATTCTGGCCTTCATTGCACTGATTCTTTTTAAGTTTTACTTTCTGAAGGTCATTCTTCTATCTTCATTAAATCTGTGATGTCTTGCTTTGAGCTTTGAGTAGAATGCGCTTGTTTGAAACAATCCCATGTCTTTTTGAGACAAAGTTGTGAAATTTCGTGCCTCTTGTGATTTTCAAATTCATACTTGGCTTATTTGTCAATTTTATACCATTATTTTATTACCCTTATTTATCCTTTTGTGCTATAGCAATTTTAACTGTTAATTACGCTTTAGCTTACGGCTTATATATCATTGGCGTTGGCTGATATTGCTAAATGACATGGAATTTATGGTCTTAATCAGCAGACTTCACCTTACATTCCTTTGGTCCTCACCCTTTATA